CGGTAAAGGCACGTTAAGCTAAATGACGGTTCTGTACAGGATACAGGTTCGAATCCTGTCGGAGGATGAATATTATCTGTGAAAATTGCTCGGACATTCAGGCCAGTAAATGTTGTTTAATACTATTTATTATAAACAGAGCATTTAGTTAAATATTTGTATCTATAAAAAGAATGTACAAACATAAAAATGTCTTGAAATAATTGTCGGACTTGGTCCATTTTCATAATGTATGAATAGTATGTTCATTCATTAGTTAGAAATACAATAAATTAAAAATGTGTACGAATATTTGTTTTCTCCCACTGTATATAAACCTGAAGCACCACCAATTTTGGAAAGTGATGATGTTACTTTTCTCTGGGACCTCAACAAATCTAACCACCGTAGTATAAAACCTAATAAGCCAGATTTTGTCATAAAAGACTTCAAAAGAACATAAACCTTATCTGATAAAAACATTGCAGTGAACTGTCAAACGCACCAAATATACTGTAATTCCCTATGTATAATACGCCTTCATCTATAATACGCACCCTTAAAATTATGCTGAAAGTGTGGGGAAAATGCTTCTCACGCATAATACGCGCTCCTTGTTTGGTAATCAAACCTTATGAATTGTAACTATCCAATTTCATTACGGCCAGCGTTTCCTACTCTTATTAAAAAAATGGTTTTAAACATAAAATAATATCATTCTAATTTAGTTTTATGATAATTCTTATTTTATTTTACATTTATAAGTATTGTTAGGTACATATGATTGTATTTGACATCCTTATGGGGTCGCAATCGCCGAATGTTAATGTCAAATTGTCGTATGTTTGTGGGGAGTAGTCATTTCGCAACTGAAATCGATCTATGAAACGGCAGTTTTTAAAGATTTTTTGTAGCTGTGCATAATACGCACATCTAATTTTGCTCATTATTTTTTTTTTTAGAAAAAATAAATATTATATACGGGGAATTACGGCAATAATCTTGAAATAAATATTAGAAGAATGTAACATTTAAACATAATCATTATTTCAGCGATAAGCATGATGAAGAAGGCGCTCCGACATAGAAAACATTTGGACAATTTCTACATAATTCTACATCCAGAAAAGAAGAAAATTATAAGGACACAACAAAAATTGAATAAAAACTTTAACTTAGTACCTTGTCAGTCGTTTTTAATGAAACTTGTATAAAAGAGGGATTGTTGCCCAAATACACAATATATATATATATATATATATATATACAGAAAAACCGTACATCTTACTTATTATAAAACGCAGATTGTGTGTGTGTGTGTGTGTCTGTAACGTTTATATATTGGATCGGATTTCCTACATTTTTCAACCGATTTCAACAAAACTTCACAGAACTACATAAAATTACCTTGTGGTGGTTCTAACGGCGCCAAAAATGGGAAAAATATAATTGTTTTTGCACAAAATCAATTTGAAAACTCAATTAAGAGACATCGTGAAAATGGAAGGGGGACAACTCACATCGGGTTGTTTGTGTGTGTGGGTTCCTTTAAATATGGGAGCGGATTTCCTATATTTTTCAGCCGATAAAACAAAACTTCACTTTTTTTTTGGCAGGTAGTGTTTCTTATTCTTTTGCACACTTTTTTCTTTATTTTTAACATTCAGAATGCTTTAAAAATTCCATTTACAAGACAATTATTTATAATAAAATTCTATTCAATCGAGTTTTTGTTTGAGTTTGGGTTTGACCAATTCCTAAAAAAAAAAAAAAAAAAAAAACTAATTAAGACATGCGTGTCCGTCAACCTTAAACAATAATCTAACGATTTCTACTGATTGTACGAATACAAACATCGGATAAATTCTTTATCTTTAGGGAAAGATAATGAAATCTAAACATACACACGTCCTCCTAACTAAAAATAATAACCGGAAACTACTTTAAATACACATGGTGTCCAATTTTTTTACTATATTCAATAAGTAAAAATCATAAATTGTAAAAGATTATTATTACAGAAAGGCTACTAAATGAAGAAGATTTGTTAGATCATAATTAATAAACCCAAATAAAGTTAATATTTTTTGTATTAGAAACAACGAGTGGAAAATATATTCAAATCAGAATTCTAATTATGAATCACCACAAGCAAAATATGCAATTTTATTACTGTATTCAATAAATAAAAATCATAAATTGTAAAACTAAAAGATTACAGAAAGGCTACCTACATTTTTCAACCGATTTCAACAAAACTTCTTTTTTTGACATGTAGTGTTTCTTATTGTCTTGCACACTTTTTTCTTTATTTTTACATTCAGAATGCTTTAAAAATTCCATTTACGAGACAATTGTTTATAAAATTCTATTCAATCGGGAGACTCATAACGATTGAAAACAATATTTTTGTTTGAGTTTGGGTTTGACCAATTCGTTAAAAAAAACAACTAATTAAGACATGCGTGTCCGTCAACCTTAAACAATAATCTTTGTGAATTTTATTTTTCAGTCTTTATGATGGTGGATACTTGATCTATCTCTTACTGTTATATCCTAGGGCAACGCTGGGCTCTACTGTTAGTCAAATATAAGTGTATAAAAAATAAAAAAAATATAAGAGTGAACAGACAAGTCCGCCTACGAAACTCTGGAGTTGGGATGCTGATGTAATATCAATCAGCTAATTGACAAAATTTTAATTATATATATATATATATATATATATATATATATATATATATATATATATATATATATACTGACGAATATATATATATACGTAGTCATTTAATTTTTCTAAATATGAGCTACACTCAGATCTTTTATATTTAACCTATCTTAGAAGAATAAAGATTAATATCTAAATTTTTCGTTTCAAATTTATTAAACTTTACAAAATTGGATTTCTTTTATAGATAAAACCAAGTTTCGAACACAGAACATCTTTATAGATTATGCCTTTAAATTCCTTGAGGAACACAGTGTCGCAAGATATCATTACGGTTTCTATATAGTAAGCCAGTTTTTTAAAGCGAGTAGGTTGTTAGCTTACTGCACAAACCCCAGCCTGGAGGATCAGTTTTTGAATTCAGAGTAAATCCTTCTCCTAGACCAGTCACCACCAAGTCTATCCTGCTAAATACCCATAGCTGGGGTGAGATAAGAAGAGTATTCATACATTTCCCAAGAGTATTAGGATTTAAGTGAAGGTAATGGATTCGACTGTAATTCGAACTCGGCTCTCCAATTCTTCAATCCGATCCACTACTCTACAATTTTTGAGTATGGTAACTCATATATTATATGTAAATATATATTATATGTGCAAAACATATAAATATTATAAATAAATATAAAGATAAATATAAATAAATTTATATTTATTTATATTTATGAATATAAATATTATAAATATATATGTGTAAAACAGCCCAGAGTTTTTAGATAAACGGATTTGAGTGCAAATGTATATATTATGGCTTTGAATTCTTTGATATCGTTGCGGTTTCTATAACAAGCCAGTTTTTTTTAAGTTAGTAGGTTTTTAGCGTACTGCACAGCCCCACATCCTGGAGGAGCAGGTTTTGAATTCAGAGTTTTCCTTCACCTAGACCAGTAGACAAGGCTACAGAACCCGGTCTGTCCTGCTATTTACCCATAGCTGGGGGCACAAGAAGTGGATTCATACCTTTCCCAAGAGTATTAGCATTTAAGTGAAGGTAATGGATTCGACTTTAATTCGAACCCGGCACTCCAATTCATCAATCCAAGCCGCTACCCTACAATTTTTGAGTATGAAACGGAGATAGGGTTAATTTGTGCTTATGATATTCAGTAGTAACTCATATGCTTAATCGATATTAATTTTTAAGAATGATCGAAATTCTCTCTAATCTGTAGCAGTCTTTTATGGAGAATAGATTGATGTCAACTGAACCTTTATGTAAATATCATTAATTACCACATTATTTGTTAGATAAAAAAATGGGAAAAATGAATTCTTATAGAAGTAAGTAAATACAAATGCAATTTGACAAAGGGTCAATGCACATAAAATAAATTGAAAATTTAAATATGATTTTTATTTTTAAACATGTATTTGAAAAAAAATAAAATTCTGATTGCAACAACCAGTTCCTTTGCTCTAACAGATAGGTAATGGTGATATCCACGATACTCAACTTAGACAATTATTTCGCATCTGCAAGTGTAGGAACAAGTCTTCTATTGGCTGATATTTTATTGCCGTTTTCAGCGAATAAACAGCAGCGATCATATGAAGATGACGAAATTGACTGCATGCAAACGGCTGTAAGAAGAGTTGAAAAAGATGAAAGCAAAGTCGTACGGACTTGGAGAGTGCAAATAAAGCGTGTGTAAGTATGTGTAGGTGAAAGAAGAAGGAGGAGAAGAAGCCCGAAAGGATGAAATAATGATATTAAAATATTGAGGCAGAGAGAAAAGGAAATAGAGAAAAATAAAGAGAGAGAGAGAGAGAGAGAGAGAGAGAGAGAGAGAGAGAGAAAAGAGAAAAGGAGGAAATAATGAAAGAAGAGAAAAGTCTGAAAAATATAAAAGGCAAAGAAAGAACGAAAAACAAACAAAGAATCAAGAGCATTAAAAAACAATAAAAGAATGAAGAGATGGGCGAATATTAGAGAAGAATGGCGGAGCAGTAGAGGAAGTGAAGGCAGATTTGAAGGAAGAGTGGGTGGGGGAGCAATGATGTTCGCAGTCGTTCACTACTGCAAACCTTTTTATGACCTTCAGGACTCCTTTGTGTCTCGAATGTGTCTGCATGTAATGTCGGCCTGTCATGGCCGTGTGAATTTACGGCAGGCGATGCCACAAACTTTCAACTGCCCTTATCCTGAGACGGAGATGGCGTCATAAAACAGAGAAGCAGTAATAATGATGATGATGAAGATGAAGTTGATGATGGTGGGAGGTGGCGAGTGGGGCGCTGGAGCAAAAGAATAGCAATAATGATTCAATATGAGCCCAAAGACCTGACATTGTTAGAAATTAAGAGAGAGAGAGAGAGAGAGAGAGAGAGAGAGAGAGAGAGAGAGAGAGGTGGAATTGAAGAAGGAGGGAGAGATGGAGAAAGGGAGAGAGGGGGAAGAGAGGGGGAGGAAGAGGGAGAGGGAGAGAGAGAGAGAGAGTGAGTCAGAGAGTAACATCAGAAAAATAATGGCAGAAACTGAGAGTGTAGTAATTCCATTAATTGCTGGAGTACCGGGCACAATTCCCAAATTACATTCGAGGGATGTCTTATGCAAAATGATACCATATCGTTGCTCACAGCAGCAGTAGACTAAATAATTTTAACATACTTTTTTTTTTTTTTTTTTTTTTTTTAAGCGTTTCACCCCAAGCAAGGCGGTAAGCCACTAGGTATGAAGGGGTTACAGAAGATTTGGAGCAAGATCAGGTAGGAATGATAGAGGAAAGGATGAGGAGAAGGACAGTGGATAGATCAAAGCAACTGAAGATGTCGATTGACATTACATTTGAATAGCTGGAGATTATAGCTCTCAGGGATACTAATGACACTTGATTTCATATCTTCTAATGACCTTTAATCTCCCAATGATCTTTAAGAAGAATGGTAATGATGCAATGCCAAAAGAGATAGTAACGAAAATGGCGATGGTAATATTAAGTTGAATCTTAATATTAAGCATTATTGAAAACATATTAAGCATAGTATAAAGGTAGGGGGTCTTTACACGATTTAAAATATCAGTTGGTACGCATACAAGATTTGTGAGTATTACAGGGAAAGAGTGTTTGAGAAAAAGATAGATAGAAAAAGAAAGAGAGAGAGAGAAGGAGAGAGAAAGAAAAAAAGTTGAGAGTGAGATCGAGAAAGAGACCGAGAAAAAGGGCGAGAAAGAGAGAAAGACCACGAGCAGTTTTTGTGCGTTTACAAGAGAGAGAATTAAAGAAAAAGTGGGAGAATGAAGGTAGAGAATTTGTGAATGAACGAGAGAAGAAGGGGGGGGAGGAGAAAGAGAGCTAAAATATCATAGAGAGGTACAGACAGACAGAGAGAGAACAAGAGAGAGAGAAGGAAGAGAAAGAGTGAATGAACGAGAGAAGAAGGAGAGGAGGAGAAAGAGAGCTAAAATAGCATAGAGAGGTACAGACAGACAGAGAGAGAACAAGAGAGAGAGAAGGAAGAGAAAGAGTGAATGAACGAGAGAAGAAGGAGAGGAGGAGAAAGAGAGCTAAAATAGCATAGAGAGGTACAGACAGACAGAGAGAGAACAAGAGAGAGAGGTAGAGAAAGAGTGAATGACCGAGAGAAGAAGGAGAGGAGAAAGAGAGCTAAAATAACATAGAGAGGTACAGACTGACAGAAAGAGGACAAGAGAAAGAAGACAGAGATTGAGTGAATGAACGAGAGAAGGAGAGGAGGGGAAAGCGAGCTAAAATAGCATAGAGAGGTACAGACAGAGAGACAGACAGAGAGAGAACAAGAGAGAGAAGGTAGAGAAAGAGTGAATGAACGAGAGAAGAAGAGAGGAAGAGAAAGAGAGCTAAAATAGCATAGAGAGGTACAGACAGACAGAGAGAGAACAGAGAGAGAGAGAAGGAAGAGAAAGAGTGAATGAACGAGAGAAGAAGGAGAGGAGGAGAAAGAGAGCTAAAATAGCATAGAGAGGTACAGACAGACAGAGAGAGAACAAGAGAGAGAGAAGGAAGAGAAAGAGGAATGAACGAGAGAAGAAGGAGAGGAGGAGAAAGAGAGCTAAAATAGCATAGAGAGTACAGACAGACAGACAGAGAGAGAACAAGAGAGAGAGGTAGAGAAAGAGTGAATGACCGAGAGAAGAAGGAGAGGAGAAAGAGAGCTAAAATAACATAGAGAGGTACAGACTGACAGAAAGAGGACAAGAGAAAGAAGACAGAGAAAGAGTGAATGAACGAGAGAAGGAGAGGAGGGGAAAGCGAGCTAAAATAGAATAGAGAGGTACAGACAGAGAGACAGACAGAGAGAGAACAAGAGAGAGAAGGTAGAGAAAGAGTGAATGAACGAGAGAAGAAGGAGAGGAAGAGAAAGAGAGCTAAAATAGCATAGAGAGGTACAGACAGACAGAGAGAGAACAAGAGAGAGAGAAGGAAGAGAAAGAGTGAATGAACGAGAGAAGAAGGAGAGGAAGAGAAAGAGAGCTAAAATAGCATAGAGAGGTACAGACAGACAGAGAGAGAACAAGAGAGAGAGAGAAGGAAGAGAAAGAGTGAATGAACGAGAGAAGAAGGAGAGGAGGAGAAAGAGAGCTAAAATAGCATAGAGAGGTACAGACAGACAGAGAGAGAACAAGAGAGAGAGAAGGAAGAGAAAGAGTGAATGAACGAGAGAAGAAGAGGAGGAGGAGAAAGAGAGCTAAAATAGCCTAGAGAGGTACAGACAGACAGAGAGAGGACAAGAGAGAGAAAGAGAGTGTGAAAGAGAACAGGAGAGTTAGAGAAAGAGAGAGAAAAGGAGAAACTAGAGAGGGAAACAGAAAAAACAAGAACGGGAATAATTATTCGCGCTTGTGAACTTGTGTTATGGCAAGTGTAATTCCGATAAAATAAGGCTGTAAGATTTTCACCTGATGTCTGCAGCTATAAATAAGAATTGGCATCTGCGATAAAGCGATTTGGTTAAAGGCAGAAACAGATCCAAGATTTCAGTGGAATGACTCATAAAGAAATCGAAAGTTTCGCATTTCACAAGAATGGATCTAGTTAAGCAACAGTCGCTTCCAAAAGAGAGGAGGGCAATAAGTGAACGAATCAATTTAATTCATTTTGAAAGTGTTGAAAAACGTCTCTATGGAACTACAATTTAATAATCCGATCAAATGCATTATTGCTTAAAATGAATATATTAAAAATTATTTCACCTACACAACAATTGGGCACATCTTTCGAAGACTATGCCTTCTAGGATCGATTAATGTTTTTAAACTGTGTGCCGTAATTCCCCATGTATAGTACGCAATTTTTCTAAAAATTAATAAGCAAAATCAGGGATGCGTATTATGCACAGCTATAAAAAATTATTTAAAAATTGCCGTAAAATAAAATAAGAATTATCATAAAACTAAATTAGAATAATATCATTCTATGTTTAAAACCATTTTAAAATAAAAATAGGAAACGCTGGTCGTAATGAAATTGGAGAGGTACAATTTATAGGGTTTGATTGCCAAACAAGTGGCGCATATTATGCGTGAATAGAAGCATTTTCCCACACTTTCAGCACAATTTTAGGGGTGCGTTTTATAGATGAAGGCGTATTATACATAGGGAATTACGGTATATAGCCTTGTTAGAAGTGAATGCATTAATTTTAGAAAGTAAAAAATAACATACTTATATTGGACACACAATCACAATCATTTATTTGAAATGAACAGATTAAAGAATGCTCATTGTAAAATCCAGTTTTAATTGCAAAAATTAAAAATATAAAATTAAAAACATACTTCTTCATATAATGTGCCTCCTCAGGACGTAGGTGATCACGGCTCTCCACAATTGCCCTTTGTAGGTCTTAATAAATTTTGTCTTTTTGTTATTTCTCTTAAACCTTGTTCCGCCATCCATTTACTCAAGCTCTCTAAGTATGTTATGCGTTGTTTACCTCTGTCTCTCTTGCTTTCAATCTGTCCTTTGAGTATCAGATTTTCCAAACCCTCTTTCCTCATTATGTGCCCTAGAAATTTCGACTGATGTTAAGTATAAGTTTCCTTTTTGTTTCCATTTTGTTTAAAACTTGTTCACATAATCGGTCCATAGTAGCCTCAGCATCGTTCTGGAGAACACACATTTTTGCTGCTTCAAGTCTTTTCTTTGACGAGATTGTCCTGCACTCACTACCATATAGGAAGACAGATATCATGTAACATTTTGTACACTTTTCATTGTTTCTGACGAAGTTTTTCTGTCTCTTAATACTTTGCTTAGCTTTTGGTACGCTTCTTTGTCTATCTCAATACGCCTTCAGGCTTCAGTGTCGTAGTTTCCGTGCTCTGTTAAAATACATCCCAGATATTTAAATTTTTGTATTTGCTTTATTTTGGTATCTCCGATTTTTCATTTGAATTTTGGGCTCATCCTTTTGCTAACAACCATGCATACTGTCTTCTTTTAGTTCATATTTAATCCTTTCTTCTCACTTTCTTTCACTAAGTTCTATAGGAGTTTTTGTAGTTTTCTTTCCGTGTCTATTATCAAAACTATAAAAAACGCTGTTTAATTAAAAATTTATAACTCCGGTTTAATTAAAGGTGTATAATAATCTGGTATATATATATATATATATATATATATATATATATATATATTTTAAGCGTTTCACCCCAAGCAAAGCGGGAAGCCACTAGGACGCAAGGGGTTACAGAAGATTTGGAGCAAGATCAGATAGGAGTGATAGAAGAAAGGATGAGGAGAAGGATAGTGGATAGATCAAGGCAACTGGAGATGTCGATTGACATTACATTTGAATAGTTGGAGATTATAGCTCACAGGGAAACAGGAATAGGGAAGGGAGTTTCACAGGCGAGAGGTGCGAGACATGAAGCTATTGGAGTAGAAGAGACGGTTACATTTAGTAGTTTCGACAGTGAAAGGGTGAGAGCGGGATGCCAGCCTCGTAGGGCGCTTGAACTCATGAAGTCTGGGAACCAGTGAATGCAGCTCATCGGAGCAATTGCCATGAAAGTATTTGTAAAAAAGACAGAGAGAGGCGACGGTGAGTCTGTGAGAGAGCGACTGTAGACGAGACGCCAGAACAGGGCCAATATATATATATATATATATATATATATATATATATATATATATATTGCGGAAGGCATTAATGAGTTAAGGTAAGCTGCAAATATTAGAAGAAACGAATCTAATTTCTTTCCTTGATTCAATTCCTTGATTTCTTTTTTTTTTTTTTCTTTTTTTTTTTTTAAATCAGAACAGTAATTTAAGTCTTTCAGCCTGAACGCATGTTCGAGATATTTCCTTTTATGGATCGTAGTAAATTAGAGTTAAAGAGTTTAACGCTGATTAAAAAAAAAAAAAAAAAAAAAAATCCGCAGCGCTCTTAGTTAATTTACTTAACTTCGAATATTCCCAATTCGAGGTGAAACTTGCAGTTGGTTAAATCAGTCATTATTTTTTGTTACTATTCTTATTCACAAATTTAAGTATGTTTTGTTCACAAACTCCATTTTGAATTGCATTTAAAATGACCGCCATTTTGATTAAAATATGAATATTTCTCAATTTTCTGTATTAAAAACGTCAGAATATTTCTTAAATATTTCTCAAATCGTGAAGATGGAGTCAGCACCAGAAGTAGGGAGTCGATACAAGAGTACAAATCATAATTAAAAGGTCAATATCAGTTTAATTCTAGTATGAGCGCAATATTTACAACCAGAACGGGTTTTAGACTTAAAAGAATCACATAGTAACTTACATAGATATTATTCTTCTCTTTCATTGCGTCTTTATACCTGATGATGGCCGTAGAAAGAATCTGCCAAAATATAGTGTTAGAAGTATAAAAACACCATGATTAAAAATGAAAAACTTTTGGAACCTATGTTACTGGGAGAGTTAAGAGTTAAGAAGACAGCAAAAACCTCCGCATGAGACCCATCAAAATTTCGTGCAATTCAAGTATACACAAACATGCGCACAGATGCACACACACGCAAACATGCACACACACACACACACACACACACACACACACACACACACACACACACACACACACACACACACGTGCATATGCATATGTATATAATATTGTTTGTCTCATGATACGTGGTCTTTAATAATAACTCTGGATATCACATTGGAACACTGATTCTCATACAGGAATACCAGGTGCTGTAATCTTGAATGTGCGGATAGTGTAATGGATAGCATCTTGGAATTGGTGATCGGAGAGCCGAGTTCTAATTCCAGTCAGGTTCTTTACGCGCTTTCTCTTGGGAAAGGTACGAATTCCCCTCTTCCCTCTCCTGCTATGGGTTAAATAGTAGGACTTGTATCAGTAACTTATTATCATCTTCAAAAAAGTCTTACAGTCTAAAAATATTTTCTTCCTTCAAATAACCTGCAAAAGGTTCATAGGCCGTAAAATAGCAAACAATTCAATCAATAAATCAATCAACTTAATAATTACTAATAACACTGAAATATGTTTTGTCAAGTTTTCATATCCAGCTGCTTCAAGGAAATTGATCTGATAAAATTACTGTACTGCTTTGCTATATTCACGTTGTAGAATTTTATTCGAATTTTTTTAACACAGTTACCAATATATGCAGACTGCTTGTGTCCGGATGGACTTGAAGATGAGGACCCGGCCCACTTACCAAAATCTGACTAAAATATCAGAATTTATTTTGAAATCCCTTCTTTCTTGGGTCAAAAACATTTTAACACCGCCAACATCGTATTATATCGCTGAAGTTTATTCAGTCGTTTGTCGTAAGTAGTAAATCTATTTTAGTGTTGGCTGCTGACTTTCGTTAGGTGTTATATTTTACTGTCTACTAAACGGTGCTAATTCGTTGCTCGACAATTCTTGGCATGTCTGTGAGGGTTCAAAAGCGTAAAATATTCATGAAATCATCAAAGACCGGATATTCACTCTTTTATTACACAATAAAAACGGAACTGGATAGAATGTCAAGGTGGAGTAAAATAGACTCACAACAGACTGTAAGCATGATATAAAAAATAATTGCATAATCCGTAGGTCAGTCAGTTTGTTCAGAGCTCAATGCCAATTAATAATCAATTCAAGCATACAACAGACTGTAACAAAGTGCATTATTATTATGATTCCTTTTCCTCACTTGTTTTAAGGTTTAAAACAGGGAAAAGTTTGTTTTTTTTTATATAAAAAAGAAGTTTTCTATCGAGTTTATTTTACTCTGTTAATCAAGTACCCTCTGCAAACTTATTCATCGGATCGATTTATCGATAATGATCATTAACATGAAGAAAAATGTAAAAATATTGCCTAATCATGTAGACATATAGATATATATTTTATTTTGTCGAGCAGTTTCATAAAAAAGAAATGAGGATTTTATATTATAGTTACACTATATTGTCCGTCATATTGACAGTATTTTTTCTTTCTTTCTTTCTTTCTTTCTTTCTTTCTTAGTCTAGTCGAATTTTTTTTTTAAAAAACAGGATTCAAAAACTTTCGGCTGTCACATTGTTGCTTAGCTTGAAGTATTAATCAATCAAGACAGTGAGACAAACAGTAGAATGTAGATAAATTCTAAGCTGCTAATATTAATAGATGCTATTGTAATTTATTCAGCTTAGCCGTGTTCACAACAACACCAAATTGATGGGACACCCAGTGAGGATCAATCGCACTACAGTGGGAAGAGATTGGCTTCCGGTTATTAGTGACGATAGTATATGGGGCTATGCATTACCCAGAATGCAAGCACCACATCTCGATCGTAACGACAAGAACCAAAGGAATAAAGGACGTTACATTGGGGTCTCCACTCCGGGTTTTTTGTCTGGGTTTACTTCCATAACCTTTTCTCTCTTTGGATATAGCCGAAAGGCAGCGGAGGTTTGAAATCTGGGTTTTCCTTCCTTCCCCTATAGATGAACTGCCGGGCTGACGAGTTCCATCTACCTGCAGTAGCTGGTTATGAAGCACTAGTGGCCCGTCTTCGGCCTTTCCCCGTCTTGGAGCTGGACTTACTTGCTAAAGGCTATTTGAGATGCATGTCATGTAAACATTTTATAGACAGTGTGAGCTTGTCCCCACTGCTACACTCGTCTATAGCAAACTTTTGGAACATATATAATGTACATATATAAATATTACATATATAACATGTTTTAAAAGCCACCTACAAAATTAACTTATATATATATATATATATATATATATATATATATATATATATATATATATATATATATATATATAAAAAAACTACTAGACAAATTGCAGAAGAATCATTGCATAAACACAAATGTCGAAATTATTTATATATATATATATATATATATATATATATATATATATATTATATATATATATATATATATATAACATAATTTCGGCATTTGTGTTTTTATATATATATATATATATATATATATATATATATATATATATATATATAAGATTTCGACATTTGTGTTTAGTTATAACTATATATATATATATATATATATATATATATATATATATATATATATATATAAAACATAATTTCGACATTTGTGTTTAGTTATTTATATATATATATATACAACATAATTTCGACATTTGTGTTTAGTTATATATATATATATATATATATATATAACATAATTTCGACATTTGTGTTTATTTATGCATGATTCTTCTGCAATTTTTCTAGCAGTCTTTTGATTATATATATATCTATATCTATATCTATCTATCTATCTATCTATCTATCTATATCTATATATATATATATATATAATCAAAAGACTGCTAGAAAAATTGCAGAAGAATCATGCATAAATAAACACAAATGTCGAAATTATGTTATATATATATATATATATATATATATATATATATATATATATATAAGCAAAAATAAGAGACTGCTAGACAAATTGCAGAAGAGTCGTACATAAATAAACAAACACAAATATCGAAAAGTTTGGTAACTCTTGGAAAAGATTTCAGAAGAGAGAAATTGGGATGTAAGTCTAAAATACTCGGAGGTTATGAAGTCATTATTTTTAACATACAATAAAAACAAACTATAGAACCTTTTTGGCGGTACTAATACCTAAACTAGAAATTGATAGAAAAGAAATGAGAGTAGAAAAGGCAATGTTAAGAAACATAACTTTAGGTACAACAATCCGGAATTATGATTATTGAATCACATATTTCTATCTTAAAAAAAAGAATGAGCCAGTCGTTGAAAAGTCTTTGCCACAGAAGATGACAGAAAACATTGACAAAAACTTTACTTAAAGTTAGTACATACATTAGGTGTTGAAAAGCAGGGATTACCCCAAGTTCCAAAACCTCCACATTTGATCTTCGTTTAATTTTAAATTTATATTTAATTTTTAAATTTTGACAACTTTTCAACACACCTTATCATATGCGTCTATCTATCTATCTATCTATCTATCTATCTATCTATCTATCTATCTATCTATCTATCTGTTGGGGCGCACCCACCTTCTAACTAGTAATGGACTGGTCCCTCTTATATAAGTCAGCTCTGGAGAGAGAGTGACAGAGCGTCAGAGAGAGAGTCAGCGTGAGCAGTCCAGATAAGCTTACCCGGTACATACCGTTGGACTATAGACTTTGGATATTGTTTCGTACTAACCAACCTTCGTTCTACTAATCACTCTATTGTTAATTGCTTTTATGAATATACCAGTATTTTCCTCTACAACTGTGTTTGTCTTGATTCATACACCGACACGCGGGAAACTCACAACATCTCACTATCTATGCATGAAGAACGAATATATGCATACATACCGGCAAAAACAAAAACACTAGTCGGACCACACTTATGTTAGTGAAATATCCAGGAATTTAAAATTATCTCAACAACGAAGGTTTTTATTTACAAAACAATCCTTTTCATTGCCCTCAGTAGGTCTGATAACAAATTCGAATTTATTTTAAACCAGTATTCTGAACGAAATAGAGAAAGGAAAGGACTGGGTACAAAATATGCCTACCAACTTCACAACGAGTATAACTGCAAAGAATTCATCCAACCTTAATATGAAATTTATTAGAATTATTTAAAAAATATCTATCTATCTATCTATCTATCTATCTATCTATCTATCTATCTATCTATCTATCTATCAGACACGTGCCGTCAGTAATTACCCGGGGTAGGTATCTTGTGCAACTCAAGCACTAAACAACAGAGTCTCCTTACACAAAGGCAACATGAAATATACACATAGTGGTAAAGCACGCCAGTCGGACCACACGCACACACACACACACACACTCACACACACACTCACACACACACAGAGACACAAACACTTTACGAAAACCTTGTGTTTACTAAATAGATTTCTTTATAATAATATAGTATATAATATATTTGTATGAAGAACGAATATATGCATACATACCAGCAAAAGCAAACACACCAGACGGACCACACACACACACACACACACACACACACACACACACACACACACACACACACACACGCACTCACACACATACACACGAGCCCTACACACCATACATAGTGTGTATATACTGTCAAAAGCACACACACAATACACAAAAATAGAGAAAGGAATGAAAAGATTGGCGGGAGACATAAAAAAGAAAAGAACAAAAACATCCACGTTTCTTTCCTTTTCTCTGGGTAAAGTTAATTATTTTATTACACCTCAAGTAAAGGAACATTTTTTGGCCAGTCCAAGATGGATTCAGATGATTACTACTTAGTACAA